CATGCACCACCACGCCCGGCTAATTTTTGTGTTTTTAGTAGAGACGGGGTTTCTCCATGTTGGTCAGGCTGATCTTGAACTCCCGACCTCAGGTGATCCGCCTGCCTTACTCTCCCAAAGTGCTGGATTACAGGCGTGAACCACTGCACCCGGCTTCCCCCACAACTTATTACAGACTGCCCAAAGAGTCAGGCAAAACAGTGCTGGCATCCTCGTTTTCTCTGAAAAATGTGTGCTATCCCTCTCCTCGGCCCCTCTCACACCCTACTCCCTGTCTTTGCTTTCTTCCTGCCCCCCATTATGTCCAGCCAGTGCCATTGTGTCCAGACCGTGGGTTCCTCAGTGGCCATTGCCTCCACCACCATGATCTGGAATTTTTTTTTTAATTAATAGAGATGTGGGCTCACTATTTTGCCCAGGCATTTCTTGAACTCCTGAGTTCAAGTGATCCTCTGGCCTCAGCCTCCCAAACCGATAGAATTATGGGCGCAAGCCACCATGCCCAGCCTAGAAGTCTTTTAATGCATTTACATTTTCCTAGAATTTTCCTTCTTTACATATACACACAGGAGGAAAGCAGGGACTCTGTTGGTTTCTTGTTTTTAAAAGATGAGATTGAAGATCTTTTTGTCTGATCATGGAGGTGAAATGCAGGTGAATAACCTGCAGCGGGGCAGCAAAAGCAAAGCCTGAGGCCAGTGACTCCACGCTGAGGCCAGCCTGGAACCTGCAAAGGGAAGAAAATGGAGCTCCCCTGAGGGCTTCCCAGGCAGCCCTCCCTCCCCTGCAGGTGATATCCAGCTGCGCAGAGCAGCTGCAGAATGGGTGTGGATTCTGAGAAGGTGCAGAGGCCTGGAAGGCTGGAAACCTTAGTGCAGATCCCCGGCAGGTTCTGTCCTTTTTGGGTTTGCATGTCTGGAGCCTGGAGCCATTTTCTGGACAGTGCTTTGGTTTTGATATGTGTAGGGTCACTAGGGTCATATTGTAATTTGTATATATAAAGAAAATGTGTCCAGGCACCCTGGCTCTTGTCTCTAATCCCAACACTTTGGGAGGGCGAGGTGGGTGATTAGGTTGAGCACCGGAGTTCAAGATCAGCCTGGGCAACATGGTGAGACCCCATCACTACAAAAAATACAAAATTTAGCTGGGTGTGGTGATGCATGTATGTATCCCCAGCTACTCAGGAGGCTGAGGTGGGAGGAACGATTGAGCCCTGGAGGCTGCAGTGAGCTGTGATCGCACCACCACACTTAAGCCTGGGTGACAGTGAGACTCTGTCTCCAAAAAAAAAAATGTGTGGTAAGTCAGGCTCAGAGACAGAATTGTTTGGGATGTTGAGAAAGAGTTTATGAAGTTAGCAGTTTATTTAGGTCACAAACTTAAACTCACCCCAGGTGAGCGTTTCCTGATGGTGAAAATAAAGTTCTGGAAGGAGGGAGCATTTCCACACTGTGACGAGGAATGTGGGTGTGAGAAAGCCTTGGCCTTGCCTCATTCCAAATTATCTCGCCCTGCAGAACATCTGTCTCTCCCTCCTGATGTAGTCTTGCCTGGCCTCATCTGGGCTCCCCTCCTGCTCTGAGGCAAGGGGATGGCTTTGATGGGGCAATAGGCTCTTGACCCCCAAAATATTTGCTAAAATATCATTGACATAAAGCTGATTAATATGAGAAAAGGCATATGAACTTATTTAACATGTATACAGGGCTGCCTTTAGTAAGAAGACCCACCCAACAATAAGACAGAAAAGCTTATATACCATCTTGAGGCTGTTACCAGAAAGGGGTTCTAATTCAGACCTCCAGAGAGTTCTTGGTTCTCATGAAAGAACTCAGGGTGGGTCCTTAGAGTAAAGAGAAAGCAAGTTTATTAGAGAAGTAAAGTCTCAGGCCAGGAGCGGTGCCTCATGCCTGTAATCCTAGCACTTTGGGAGGCCGAGGCCGCCAGATCACCTGAGGTCAGGAGTTCAAAACCAGCCTGGGCAACACGGTGAAACCCTATCTCTACTAAAGATACAAAAAAATAAGCCAGGCTTGGCTGCATGTGCCTGTAGTCCCAGCAACTCGGGAGGCTGAAGCAGGAGACTTGCATGAACCCGGGAGGTGGAGGTTGCAGTGAGCTGAGATTGTGCCACCACACTCCAGCCTGGGCAATAGAGCGAGACTCCGCCTAAAAAAAAAAAATGAATTGAGTTTAACATCAGTAATAATTATAACTTTTATGTTAAATTATTGTGTGTCACATAAATGACCAGACCTTAACAATGGATGTTCTTGGCCGGGTGCGGTGGCTCAAAGTGCTGTAATCCCAACACTTTGGGAGGCCAAGGTGGGTGGATCATGAGGTCAGGGGTTCAAGACCAGCCTGGCCAAAATGGTGAAACCCCGTCTCTACTGAAAATACAAAAAATTAACTGGGTGTGGTGGTACATACCCGTAATCCCAACTACTCAGGAGGCTGTGGCAGGAGAATTGCTTGAACCCAGGAGGCTGAGGTTGCAGTGAGCCAAGATTGTGCCACTGCACTCCAGACTGGCAACAGAGTGAGACTCTGTCTCAAAAACAAACAAAACAAAACAAAACAAACAATAGATGTTCTAAGATTTGTCATCTACAATTGGTTTCGGTTTAATTATTATTTATTTATTTATTTATTTATTTTTGAGACAGAGTTGCTCCACCACCCAAGCTGGAGTGCAATGGCGCGATCTTGGCTCACTGCAACTTCTGCCTCCCAGGTTCAAGTGATTCTCCTGCCTCAGCCTCCTGAGTAGCTGGGATTATAGGTATGCACCACCACGCCTGGCTAATTTTGTATTTTTAGTAGAAACAGGGTTTCTGCATGTTGGTCAGGCTGGTCTCGAACTCCCAACCTCAGGTGATGTGCCAGCCTCAGCCTCCCAAAGTACTGGGATTACAGGCATTAGCCACTGTGCCCAGCCTAGTTCGATTATTTTTAAGTTAGTTTTATAATCAGCTATAGGACTTTAACAGGTGCTATTTCTGTTAACTTTAGAAATTGTAGGCAAGTTTCTGATAACTTTAGAAATTGTAGCATTAAAATAATAATAAAAAAAACCCAGGTGGACGAGAAACAAAAAAACAAAAATAATTTTAAAACTATAAGACTCCTGTCAAGTACTAATGTGTTCATAAATGTTGAGCAGAAGTTTATTACATAGACTGAACTAAGGAAGACTGAAATAATCTTTTTATAGCTTTTTGTTTAAAATATTGCTAATTCTTTTGTTTTTCAAAGTCCAGAAAAACATTTATTTTGTTTTTTGAGATGGAATCTCACTTTGTCACCCAGGCTGGAGTGCAATGACTCAATCTCAGCATCTCGCTCACTGCAACCTCCGCCTCCCAGGTTCAAGTAATTCTCCTGCCTCAGCCTCCAGAGTAGCTGGGATTACAGGCACCTGCCACCAGGCCCGGCTAATTTCTGTATTTTTTGGTGGAGACTGGGTTTTGCCATGTTGGCCAGCGGGTCTTGAACTCCTGACCTCAGGTGATCTGCCTGCCTTGGTCTCCCAAAGTGCTGGGATTACAGGCATGAGCCACTGTGCCTGGCCATAGGTCTCACTTTCTTTTTTTTTTTTTTTTTTTTGAGACGGAGTCTTGCTCTGTAGCCCGGGCTGGAGTGCAGTGGCCGGATCTCAGCTCACTGCAAGCTCCACCTCCCGGGTTTATGCCATTCTCCTGGCTCAGCCTCCGGAGTAGCTGGGACTACAGGCGCCCGCCACCTCGCCCGGCTAGTTTTTTGTATTTTTAGTAGAGACGGGGTTTCACCCAGGATGGTCTCGATCTCCTGACCTCGTGATCCGCCCGTCTTGGCCTCCCAAAGTGCTGGGATTACAGGCTTGAGCCACCGCGCCCGGCCAGGTCTCACTTTCTTTATGGCCCGGGACAAATAGCCCTCCTAAACAAATAATGTAGATAACTCACAAATTTCTTGTTTACCATCAAAAACCTCGATTTATCAAATATTTCAGCTGACAGAACAATGCAAGCTCCCAAGTTGCACTCTATAAAATCTCTAGCAAACCTTTGTGTCTTTGCAGCCAGCTCCCTTCTCTGGTTCTGCCTGTTGCCTTCTTGCAAGGTACTTTCATACTTTCCTTAATAAATCTGCCTTTTTTTCTTTTCTTTTCTTTTTTTACCTACAACTGTCTTGGTAAATTCCTCTTTTTTTTTTTTTTTTTTTGAGACGGAGTCTTGCTCTGTTGCCCGGGCTGGAGTGCAGTGGCACAATCTCAGCTCACTGCAACCTCCGCCTCTCCCGGGTTCCAGCGATTCTCCTGCCTCAGCCTCCTGGGTAGCTGGGATAACAGGCAGCTGCCACCACGCCCGGCTAATTTTTGTATTTTTAGTAGAGATGGGGTTTCGCCATGTTGGCCAGGCTGATTTCGAACTCCTGACCTCAGGTGATCCACCCGCCTCGGTATCCCAAAGTGCTGGGATTACAGGCGTGAGCCACCCCGCCCGGCTTTCCAGACTTTTAAAGGTGTCAGACTCTCAATTTCTCCCGAATCAAGGAAAGAGAAAAGAGGAGAGGGGGCATGGCTTCACTAATGGAGATACTCCATAGATGCAAATTTCCTCCCCAGAAGACAGCTGTGCAAGGGCAAAGCTGCAGCCTTTCGAAATTGCCGAAGAAATATATTTTGGAATAAAATATTTTAATTGCTTTCACCTCTATTAAACCTGGAGTCTGGAACTCCCTGCACACATTTATGACATTGTGCAGGACGAAGAAACAGGGACAGACCATTGACAGAGCCACTTCTAGTAATTAAGACCAGCAAGTTTGGCCGAAATGCAAATTTTCAAAAAGCCCGGTGCAGAGAAGGAACTTGACCTTGGACTGTGGCTAGAAGCGGTCGGTCCTGCTGGGCGTAGCCCTGTTACCCCTGACTTCTGCTGTCACTCAGGATGCAGGGGGCGGGGCCTGGTGCCCTACCCAATCAGAGTCGCTGGGGTGGGGCCCGGCCAACTGTTTATCCGCTGGAAGAACTGGGTGGTATTCCCGCTCTCCTCAGTCTTTGGCTCCCCCAGCCGGGGGAGGTTGGCACCCCCTTTTTCCTGCTCTGAGAGGGACCGGTTGCCATCGCCATACTTCTGTAGCTCTGTGGTCTGCGTTGTGACTGCTCTGGACGTGGGAGTTACCTGAAAGCGAGGAAATGGTGAGAGTGAGCCCCCGCTGGGAGTTCCGAGATATGGGGCGGGTTGGCAGGGGCTGGTTGGAACCGGATGGAACTGGCTGTCCCGGGACCCGGACCTCCCCGCGGGGACTCCGGGTCTGGGGCCCCCGGGTC